TCTTGGACTGTTTTTCCTCTAATTCTTCCTCCCACTGCACTTCACCCAGATAGTCCCTTATCCTCTTATAGTCCCCTTTCCTATAGTCAACTCTCCTTTCCCAGATCTCTTGTCCCATGGTCATAAGTTTGAATTCCATCATGTTGTCAAAGACTAGGACACAATGGTCACTGGCCCCTAGAGGTATTTCATGCTCTAAATTCTCGATATCTTTTACGTTCTGGGTGAAAATCAGGTCTAATAGGCTCGGTGCATCTATTCCTCTTTCCCTTGTGTCTTCCTTCACATGTTGTGTTAGGAAATTCCTGTCTATAACATCTACTAATTTTGCTCCCCACGTTTCGTCCCCTCCATGGGGATTCCTTGATTCCCAATTTATCTCTTCTTGATTTAGGTCCCCCATGATCAGCAGCTTCGCTCTCATTCTGTGGGCTAGTGTTGCTGCCTTCTGCAGTTCATCTATACATGCCTTGTTGTTGTCATCATACTGCTGCCTGGGTCTTCTACTATAAGGTGGAGGATTGTAGATTACCAAGATCACAATCTTTCTCCCATCTACTATCAGAGTTCCATGTATGAAGCTTGTGCACTCATTGGTAACCCAATTTCCCAGGTCTTCAAACTTCCATTCCCGCTTTATTAGGAGTGCCACTCCCCCTCCCTGTCTCTGTGTCCTCTCTTTTCGTATCACCTGGTACCCTTCCGGAAAGATTGCATCTGAGATCATGTCATTAATTTTAGTTTCCACAATTGCAACTATGTCAGGATCTGCTTCACTCACTCTTTCTTTTATCTCTTCTGCTTTATTAGATACCCCATCAGCATTGGTGTACCAAACCTTGAGATTCTTCATGGAAACTCTTGTACCAGAGTTTTCCCTTTCTCTGGGGGTCTGGGGGGGGGGATTTGGGGGGTGTCTGAGGGGTGACTGGAGGCAGGGGGACCTGGGGGATCTGGGGGGTGTCTGGGGGATGACTGGGGGCGGGGAGGATCTGGGGGATGTCCGGGGGGTTCCGGACATGTGTGTGTGTGTGTGTGTGTGTGTGTGTGTGTGTGTGTGTGTGTGTGTGTGTGTGTGTGTGTGTGTGTGTGTGTGTGTGTGTGTGTGAGACTGAGTGTGTGTGTGTGTGTGTGTGTGTGTGTGTGTGTGTGTGTGTGTGTGTGTGTGTGTGTGTGTGTGTGTGTGTGTGTGTGTGTGTGTGAAATTGAGTTTTTGAAAGCAAGAACTATTTTTTTCTGATCAGTTATATGCAACAATGTGGGCATTCAATACTTTGAATTCTATTGTGAATTAATAAAAATTCATTTTCAGTGTTATTTTATCAATATGTTTTAGTTGCCAGACTACTTCCAAAATAATTGTTCATATTTCGGGTGACAATAGCTTCGAAATTGGTCTGATTGTGTAGAGCGAACCTTTATTACTGTTACATATTGCAACGTCTCATTCATAATGTATTCCTAAAGGCAGGAGTTGCAAACACGCTAAATGGGGGGAATCAATTTGAAATAATCATTTTTGTTCAATATATACACAGATGAGCTACATCTCATCTGTGTTAGGGAATCTGTACAAAATAAACCAGTTAAAGTACAATGTGTATGAACATATCACAATACATTCAGTCAAGTCTTCTATCATAGAACCAATAATAGAATATATGAATATAATAAGTTTGATATATCGACAAATAATATAGAGTATGATAAGTTTACTTAACTCGTGCATGCAACATTAAGCACATATAATTGCAAAATTGGCATATGAACTATATGCTGGAATATAATAATATTAATTAAATGCACTCGGTCGTGAAAATATTAATATTAACACAATCTCATTGCCTCAGTATATACGTGCACAAATAAAATTATAACCACAAAAGGAAAGTAGTGAAAATAAATAAGCGTGCTAGATAATTGAAAACTTAATCATTATTTTCCAAAACAGTCATAAACAATGTTTGAACAATGTTTATTTTTTGCCCAACTTCAATAAAAAATTCTATTTTGGTACTTTTTTGGGAGTAATACAATATAAGTATATTACTTCTGTTTATATGAAGCATCCCAGCTTGAAAATATTAATTCACATCAAATAGTAAATTCACGTTTTTTTTTATTAAATAAAGGAGAATGAAACAATACATCTACTTTCCTGAAGTCTAACTCAATATTATGAATGTCGATCACTGGGTCTTTAGGCCAGATTTTTATATCGTTTGTACTGAAATCTTTGCTTTCGAAGACCTAAATAGATGAAGACTCAAATGTGAGCAGGACACACACCAACCAGTCCTTAGACCAAGTCCATTCCATCCAGCGATTGACCCCAAAGACGCATTCATCAATTTTAACATGCTGTTCATACAAAACAGGAATTTTCTCAAATATAAATTAATATTATTATTTATTAGCATACTGTGTATATTTAGACATTGTTTAGGTTAGGTGTTTAGGTTCTGTTGGCGCTTTTTTGTATTTGTAGTACGTGGGTGAAGCATTTACAGCGTTGTGGTTCGAAAAAAAGTAATCATCAGCTGATGACTGCTGATGAATTGTTGTTCCGGAAGTTTTCGGACGTCATCAGTTGTGAATCGTGTGTAAACCGTTTTTCCTTCATAAACAGGGATGTATGGCGGGTGAATAGAATGGACTTTGGACTTTGTTTATGAGGACGGGCTGCACACACAGTGTTAATACCCCATGAAGTCAATGATCCAATTGATGTTCTATTGCTCAACCACGATCAGACGTCCTGATGCCGGATGTCCAAAGTTTGCTATTATAGGTATATAAAGTCACGTGACCTTTAAAACGCCGTGGAGTGAAATGTAGTCAGACCTCTAGCCAGAGCAACTTTTCTTTTTTACCAAAATACTATATAAAAGCTTACATAAGACCCAATGACAAACTCTAGTCATAAATATATGCATAAAATCTTTCGTTGCAGCCCTTAATTCATGTTAGCCATGTGATGAGCATGATTGTCACTGATGGCTGAGTAACGTAATGACAGAAAACGGCATTGCAATCCGCCAGAATTTCATTTTCTAAAACCGCTGCATTCTACTGATTTGTGCCATTACATCACCTTAATGCAATTTTGCTCTCTTTCACTCACTTCTTGAATAATAAATGGGTTATAAACAACCCTTTTCATTTGTCTTTGTTTCAAAAACAAAATATATATTTCTTGACTGTTTGAGTTCATTATTAATCTAAAAATTCGTTGGATGTTCTAACAAGATTTTTGCAGAGTAAGTCAATAATAAGTTGCTACCTGATATTGTAAAACAATTTGAAGAACATACGAACCAAGGAAACTGCAGAAGGCCTATTGTCCCATACGAGGCAGCTCCTATTTATATCAACCCATAGGGGCAACAGTGCTAGGGTGTATGGGGAGTTGGTAAGAACGGGGGTGACATAGAGGCAACAGGAGGTGGGAGGAGGTGAATATTATATGGCTTGTGACACAGTTTTAAAGATAGCTGTGTTGCAGACGAGGATATGTTTAATTTGTGAATGAAGATAAAGATTCCAGGTGGAAATAATCGTGTTAAAGTCAAGTTGAAGTCAAGTTCTTCAAGTCCAAAACTCTCAAGTTAATGCAGCTTCACTGTTGCTTCTCGTTTTAAGAACAAGGGAAGCCCTATCTTAGTTCTAATCCCACTTGAAAATCCCACAAGAAAATGAATCCTTTCAAATTCTTTTTAAATTTTATTTTATTTATACGATAAAAAAAATGTTGATCAACTTTTCCTTCTTGGTCTGGCTGCTTTCAAAATACAATTGATTTTCTGCCAGTCGGTGTCTTTCTTTCTTCCTTTTTGTGTTTTTGCGCTCCTATCAAATTCCAGTATTATTTTGAATAATCCTTATGATCCGGGGGGAGTCTCCTTTGTAACTCTCCCCATCTGTTATGACATGTATGCTTTGAGGAAAAGATATAATTTCACTTTAGTGAAATTGTGACTTTTGCCTGACGACATAAACCAAAGCATTAACTTGATTGAACCTCACGTATCACGTTCTCTCGTCTCTACTCCCTCCCTTAACATCTTTTTCTCAGCCTTTGTTATCTTCACCATACTTTATCATTATTTCTTTCAACACTGTTGTGCTTCTCAGTGGCTTCTTCCATTGTTTTCCCCCCGGATAAGAAATATTTCAGAAGAAATCCAGAAGTCCAGAAGAAATATTTATGTTGCATATTAAAAACTAGAGAGCCAATTCGGTTTCTCATTATTTCTCGTACCATCGAGATATCATATAATGAGATAGTCAGTAGGAGCTGTGAGAAGGATTCGAACTTTTGTTTTGGGTACTCCCAAGCTTACGTTTATGACCACTACACCATGAACTAGTAAAATAATTGCAGCCTGGGAATCAACTTAATCCTCTAGGGTTCATGAGCCTTCTACTGAAGCCGAACCAGATTTTCACACAACTTGCTTAGTCTAACCACTTGGGCTGGACGATAGAGCGATAGTCTCGCTTCATGCACGTCGGCGTTCAATCTCCAATCATCCAAGTTTTTGCCCACCATTCCTTCCCCCCGTCCCATCCCAAATCTTTATCCTGATCCCTTCCAGGTGCTATATAATCGTAATGGCTTGGCCCCTTCCCCTGATAATTCCGTCTCTGATTTTGTGATCTAGATGTAGTCCACCTCCAAGGATTCTCTTCAATGCACAAAGAATCTTACCACGCCAAGGCGTTTCCATGGGACTACCGCAGAGCATAAGTTCGAATCCTCCTTCACGGCTCCTCCTGATTTCTTTTCATGGATTCATTACGTTAGTGTGACTTCTCTGAGCATAGCCAACATTATCACCCATTTCCTCTCCTCGTGGGTGATCTGTGTTCACTTTATTTTCTGGTTCCCCACGGGGTGGGAGAGGCAGGGCGGCTTTATGTACAGCCGAGCCGCACATGCACCTTTAAACATAATATAAGTAGGCAAGCACTACACATCTGTCAGTGGTATTGGCAAGATGAAGTGTCCTGTTACTTCCCTTGGTCCTTGGGTACTGGTCTACGTCATTCCTCGGTCCTTGGGTACTGGTCTACGTCATTCCTCGGTCCTTGGGTACTGGTCTACGTCATTCCTCGGTCCTTGGTTAGTGGTCTACGTCATTCCTCGGTCCTTGGTTAGTGGTCTACGTCATTCCTCGGTCCTTGGTTAGTGGTCTACTTCATTCCTCGGTCCTTGGTTAGTGGTCTACGTCATTCCTCGGTCCTTGGTTAGTGGTCTACGTCATTCCTCGGTCCTTGGTTAGTGGTCTACGTCATTCCTCGGTCTTTGGTTAGTGGTCTACTTCATTCCTCGGTCTTTGGTTAGTGGTCTACTTCATTCCTTGGTCTTTGGTTAGTGGTCTACTTCATTCCTCGGTCTTTGGTTAGTGGTCTACTTCATTCCTCGGTCTTTGGTTAGTGGTCTACTTCATTCCTCGGTCTTTGGTTAGTGGTCTACTACATTCCTCGGTCTTTGTTTAGTGGTCTACTTCATTCCTCGGTCTTTGGTTAGTGGTCTACTTCATTCCTCGGTCATTGTCATCATTATTTCGACAGTCTCTGGCACCGTTCCTTACACTGTCTCTGGCACCGTTCCTTACACTGTCTCTGGCACCGTTCCTTACACTGTCTCTGGCACCGTTCCTTACACTGTCTCTGGCACCGTTCCTTACACTGTCTCTGGCACCGTTCCTTACACTGTCCCTCGAACCGTTCCTTACACTGTCTCTGGCACCGCTCTTTGCACTGTTTCTGGCACCGTTCCTTACACTGTCTCTGGCACAGTTCCTTACACTGTCTCTGGCACCGTTCCTTACACTGTCTCTGACACCGTTCCTTACACTGTCTCTGGCACCGTTCCTTACACTGTCTCTGGCACCGCTCTTTACACTGTCTCTGGCACCGTTCCTTACACTGTCTCTGGCACCGTTCCTTACACAGTCTCTGGCACCGTTCCTTACACTGTCTCTGGCACCGTTTCTTACACTGTCTCTGGCACCGTTCCTTACACTGTCTCTGGCACCGTTCCTTACACTGTCTCTGGCACCGCTCTTTACACTGTCTCTGGCACCGTTCCTTACACTGTCTCTGGCACCGTTCCTTACACTGTCTCTGGCACCGTTCCTTACACTGTCTCTGGCACCGTTCCTTACACAGTCTCTGGCACTGTTCTTTACACTGTCCCTCGCACCGTTCTTTACACTGTCTCTGGCACCGTTCCTTACACTGTCTCTGGCACCGTTCCTTACACAGTCTCTGGCACTGTTCCTTACACAGTCTCTGGCACCGTTCCTTACACTGTCCCTCGCACCGTTCCTTACACTGTCTCTAGCACCTTTCCTTACACTGTCTCTGGCACCGTTCCTTATACTGTCTCTCGCACCGTTCCTTACACTGTCCCTCGCACCGTTCCTTACACTGTCCCTCGCACCGTTCCTTACACTGTCCCTCGCACCGTTCCTTACACTGTCCCTTGAACCGTTCCTTACACTGTCCCTCGTACCGTTCCTTACACTGTCCCTCGCACCGTTCCTTACACTGTCTCTGGTACCGTTCCTTATACTGTCTTCCGCACCGTTCCTTACACTGTCTCTGGCACCGTTCCTTACACTGTCTCTGGCACCGTTCCTTACACTGTCTCTGGCACCTTTCCTTACACTGTCTCTCGCACCGTTCCTTACACTGACTCTGTGCAACTCATAAATACTCTCCCAGTTGATCATTTAATCCCCGTAATTACTCAATTGTCTGTGTAGACAATACGGAGCTCGTTGCGGGTACAGTCAGGTGGACAAAAGTTGATAATATATGCAGCGATGTATGAGGGCTGAAGCACCGGTTTGAAAGAGGAGGGGGGAGGGGGTGGGGGAGGGGGAGGGGGAGGGGAGGGGGGGGGGGGGGAGGGGGAGGGGGAGGGGGAGGGGACAAAGCAGTGGCTTGATGGAAGAGTGGCAGGTATCTGACAACAGTGGGAGAGGGGGGGGGGGGGGGTGTAGCGTGTGTAAGTTCATCTGTATGCGCCTGTCTATGTATCTCTCTCTCTCTCTATCCCTCCCTCTCTTTCTACCTCCCACCCTCCTTCTTTCTCCCTCTGTGAATCACTCTTACCCCTTTTCACTCTATCTCCTTCTCTCCCCTTTCTCCTTTGGTCCCTCCCTCCCTCTCTCCCCTCTCTTCATACATCTATCACTCACCCTTTCACTTTCTTTCTCTTTCCCTCAGGAGAGAGAAAATTGCCAGTTAAAAAGGCCTCCCTCACTCTAAGCTCTAATAGCTTTACCCTCCACGCACAAGGAGTAAACACAGATAGCAAATAAACCCAACAAACACACACATTTACTTAAGTGACTGATAAACAGGAGTTGTGTTACTTATCGATGTTTGCAGACGGTGCAAGACCAGCGAGTACAGCTGATAAAGATGACGGTTGTAAGATTCTGGAAGATATCTTAACCAGGCTTTAGAGATGGTTTGAGAAATGGCTATTGGAGGTCAGCACCAGCTAGTGCAATGTGAGGGAAAGGAGAACAGATGCCAGAAGACATAAAGGAAAGTACACGATGTAGGGAAACTACCATCCTGTAAATGCTTGAGAAAAAGGCCTGGGAGCGGACATAACACCAAACTTAACTCCGGAAGCTCGTAGCAATAGGTTAACATCAACAGCCTACTCTACTGGAGCAAAAGTCAGACCATCATTCAGAAACCTATATAAGGAGGCATTTAGATCGCTGGAATAAATGCATAAATTGTCATGCACATAAATTGACAATTTATGTGTATGACAGTTGACAATTTATGCACACGTGTGCATAAATTGTCATGCACACTTCCGTGGAACACACGTGGGATCCAGGGTTCGAGTCCACTATAGCCCAGGTGAATGAAACATTAGAAAGAATTGTGTGTGTCAGAGTAGTTAATAAATGGAATGCATTAGGCAGTGACGTGGTGGAGGCTGACTATATACACAGATTATAGTTTAGATATGATAGAGCCCAAAAGTTTCAAGAACCTGTAAACCAGTTGAGTGACTGTTGAGAAGCAGGACCAAAGATCTGAAACTACAATGGACACTCAACAACAAAAACACAGAACAAGGACAGAGACCGCGTGTTAAAGACAGTGTGAAACGAGAGAATAAAGGAGAAGATTCTAACAAGGAAGAGCCACCTGCAACACACGGGAGAATTTAGAAAAGTATTCCACCAGAGGACATGACGAGGGAGAAGAGAGCTATGGCTGCAGAACGAAGAAGTGCAGGACGAGAGGAGAAAACAAGGAAAACACAGCTCCCAACACAACATCCCCAGTAGTGAGGGGGGAACCCACAACCAGCAACTGTAACACCAGAGGGCAGGGAAACTCCACCACGCTCCTCTGCTTAGAAAGCCCCCCCTACCCTGAACCCCTCCCTGCCCCACTCAAATGTTCAGCCAACTATCCCTGCCCCCTCATCCTACTCTCACCCTACTTACCCACCTGTACTCCTGCCATGTCCCCCTCCCCCCATTTCCCCCACTGTTTTCCCTCACCCCTTCATCCCATACCCTCCCTGCCCCTCAATCCCCCCTTCATTTGACCCCCATCCCTCACTCCAGTATCCTCTGAGACCCCGTTATCCACCCCACAAAACTTCACGCCCATAGAACAGCTTCCACCATCAGCAGAACGCTCACCAAGAAGGGAACATGTGAAGGGACAGAAGAAAGTGAGTCTGAAGGCAATGTACACTAACATAGACGGGATTACAAATACAACAAACGAACTTGGAGAATGGGTACTTGAAGAAAACCCAAACATAATAGCACTCAAAGACACAAAGCTAAAGAAAACCATAACAAATGCAGTGTTTCCACAGGGCTACTGTGTTGAGAGGAAAGGGGGAGAAGGAAAAGGCGGTGGTGGTGTAGCTCTGCTGGTAAGAATAGGCTGAGATTTTGAGGAGATGGTTATTCAGGGCTGTGAAGGTTTCAGTGAGTACATAGCAGGTACCATAGCAACTGGAGGACAAAAAATTATAGTCGAGTCATATATAATCCACCACCAAATGACACAAGACCCAGACAGGAATATGATAGAAATAACATGGCCACCATAAACATAATAAAGAGAGCAGCTTCTCTCGCTAGTAGGAATGGATCTGGATTACTAATCATGAGGGACTTTAACCACGGGAAGATAGATTGGGAGAACAGAAATCCATATGGAAGACCAGATACATGGAGAGCTAAGCTGCTGGACGCGGAAACAAGAAACTTTCTAAGTCAACACACCAAGGGACCGACAAGAATGAAAGGAGAAGATAAACCAGCAATGCTTGATCTGATATTTACCCTCAATGAGTGGGATATTAGGGAAGTTAAGTTAGAAGCACCTTTGGGAATGAGTGATCACAGTGTATTGATTTTTGAGTACCTGGTAGAGCTAGGACTTCTCCCCCCCCCCCAAAAAAAAAAAACTAGGAAACAAAAGGTTGGAATACAGAAAGGTATATTGTGAGAGGATGAGAAGTTTCCTAAGGGATATACCATGGGACTCAGAGCTAAGTCTGTACAAGACATGATGGACTATGTCACCCAAAAGTGTCAGGAGACAGTAAGCAGGTTTGTTCCGGCTCAAAAGGAAAATTCCGAGAAGCAAAAGAAGAATCCATGGTTTAATAAGGCATGTATGTAAGCAAAGGAACTGAACAAATGGGTGTGGAGGAACTTCCGAAATAACAGAACACCAGAAAGCAGAGAGAGATACCAGAGAACCAGTAATGATATAGCAAGCAAAGACAAGACCGAACCAAAGCAACTCCACAGTCAAATCAGGAGGAAAACAACAGTGAAAGAACAGGTAGTGAAACTTAGAACAGTCGAGGACAGGTATACAGAGAATGACAAAGAGGTGTGTGAAGAACTCAACAAGAGTTTCCAGGAGGTCTTCACAATAGAACAAGGTGAGGTCACTGCGTTATTAGAGGGGGCAGTAAACCAGGAGGCCTTGGAAGGGTTCGAAATTACGAGAGGTGAGGTCAAGAGACAACTGAAGGATCTCGGTAGTGAGAAAGGTTGTTGGTCCAGACGGGATCTCACCATGGGTACTGAAAAAGTGTGTAGAGGCACTCTACTTGCCACTCTCCAAAGTGTATAGTAGGTCACTGGAGTCGGGAGACCTTCCATATATATGGAAGAAGACTAACGTGGTCCCAATATACAAAAAGCGTGACAGACACTGAACTACAGGCCAGTGTCCTTAACTTGTATACCATGCAAGGTGATGGAGAAGATCGTGAGAAAAAATCTAGTAGTACATCTGGAGAGAAGGGACTTCGTGACAAATCGCCAACATGGGTTCAGGGAGAGTAAATCTTGTCTGACTGGCTTAATAGAATTCTACGACCAGGTGACAAAGATTAAATAAGAAAGAGAAGGCTGGAGGCCTTCAGTCCCCTATATGAGGCTGGTACATAAGCTGGAGAGACAGGCAGGCGTAACTGGTAAGGTGCTCCAGTGGATATGGGAATATCTAAGCAATAGGAAGTAAAGAGTTACAGTGAGGGGTGAAACCACAGATTAGTGTGAAGTCACCAGTGGAGTCCCACAGGGCTCTCTACTCGGTGAAATCCTGTTTCTGATATACGTAACTATCTCCCTGTGGGAATAGACACATTCCTCTGAATGTTTGCTGACGATACCAAAATTATGAGAAGGATTAAGACAGAGGAGGAATGCTTGAGGCTTCAAGAAGACCTAGATAAACTGAATGAATGGTCGAATAAATGGTTGTTAGAGTTTAACCAAAGCAAATGTAATATAATGAAGATAGGTGTAGGGAGCAGGAGGCCAGTTGCAAGATATCATTTGGGAGAGAAAATTCTTCAAGAGCCAGAGAGAGAGAAACAATTGGGGATTGATATCACGCCAGACCTGTCCCTTGAAGCCCATATCTAGAGGTTAACATCAGCAGCATATGCCAGGTTGACTAACATAAGAACGGCCTTTAGACACTTGTGTAAGGAATCATTCAGAACTTTGTACACCACCTATGTCAAACCAATCTTGGTGTATGCAGCCCCAGCATGGAGTCCATATCTAATCAAGCATAAGACAAAACTGGAAAAGGTTCAAAGGTTTGCCACCAGACTAGTACCCGAGCTGAGAGGTATGAGCTACGAGGAGCGACTACAGGAATTAAACCTCACGTCGCTGGAAGACAGAAGAGTTAGAGGGACATGATCACCACTTACAAGATTCTCAGAGGAATTGACAGGGTAGATAAAGACAGACTATATAACACAAGGGGTATTCGTACTAGGGGACACAGGTGGAAATTGAGAGCCCAAATGAGCCACAGAGATATTAGAAAGATTTTTTTGTGTCAGAGTGGTTGACAAATGGAATGCATTAGGAAGTGATGTGGTGTTGGCTGACTCCATACACAGTTTCAAGTGTAGATATGATATAGCCCAATAGGCTCAGGAACCTGT